ATGATCATAAAGAATTTCTTAGCGATATGTCTAGCGTGCCCTGGTCTGTTGTCGACTGCGTTGATGATGTGGAAGACCGACTCAGTGCTTTCAACCTTTTGTTTAATAAAGTATTGGATCGACATGCACCTATCAGAAAGATCAAAGTCAGGAACCGTCCTAACCCATTTGTGACGGATGAAATTCGTGGCCTCATGAAGACAAGGGATAAGTGGCGCAAGCGAGGAAACTAAAGACCCGCTTGACTGGGCGGCTTATAGATCCCTCAGGAAAGAAGTTAAGAGAGAACTGAAAATCGCAGAACGAGAGTATGTTGCGGAATAAATTAACAAGAATCCAAAGAATCCCCGCTGTATTTGGAAGACTATTCGATCTTGTATTCCAAACAAATCGCGGAACCAAAGAACTTTTAGTAAAGATCACAGAATTGTTGCCAATAAATTTAACACATTCTTCTCTTCAGTTGGCCAAGCGACCGTTGATGAAATAAATTCTTTAGCAAACGAATATAAACACAACCTCGCCAAACCAGGTTTTAAGCCAAGAACCATAGTTAGTAGAGCTAACTATGCAAGAACGTACGACGAATCAGAGCAATTTGCATTTCATACCGTGGAATGTAAACAACTGCAGAAAATCGTTTTAGCAATGCTGACTAACAAAGCCCCTGGGAACGATAAAATCCCAATGCGAGTCATTAAAGACAGCCTTCCTGTTATTCTTCCAACACCACGTCAATTATCAACGTATCCTTTGTTACAGGTTCATTCCCTTTGCCTTGGAAAATGGCTCAAGTCATACCTATTCCAAAGGAAGGTGATCATGAAAGACCTAACAACAATAGACCTGTTTCACTACTGCCTACCCTCTCTAAAGTGTGCGAAAAAGTGGCTTTAAACCAACTTATGGTTTTTTTAGAATCAATACAACGTCTTTCAACCGAAATAGACGATTTCATTCAACAGAAACGTCTCTTCTAGAAACAATTTGTTACGGAAACTCACTGCTAAGACAAGTCCTTTATCTTAGCTCTAAAACACGAGAAGCTTTACGCCCTAGCGGCTTGCATCGTGTGCCCGCGAAGACTTCGTGTCCACTGGCCTACAGCGGGCGCAATACTGACACCCGAAAACCCTTGCGATACTTAATCTATCACATATCGTAACACAACTGACATCATTCTGGAAGCAATGGATAAGCAGAAAGTTATTGCGGTAGTCCAATTGGATATGAGCAAGGCTTTCGATAGTCTTAATCATGACATCCTTTTGAAAGCTGCAAGATATCGGTCTGTCCCCTGCAGCTCTTAACTGGTTTTCTAACTATCTATCAAGCTGTCCGTATCAATTCTGAACTTTCAGACAAACTACCGATTCAAAGTGGAGTACCGCAGGGGAGCATCCTTGGGCCCATCCTGTTCAATATTTATGTTAACGATCTACCTTCCGTTCCTCAGTGCTGCAAATCCAGGACATATGTTGATGACAATCAACTTTACATAACTTTTCCCGTTCAACAGCGCGAAAATGTTGTGGAAGACATGAACAAAGACCTCACTAAGATCGGGAACTGGTGCTTTGATAATCGCCTCCTCCATAATACAACAAAAACCAAAACTAATGCTGTTTGGTAGTCGCCGAATGATTGCCAAGATCCCAAATTTCAACCTGTCCTTGCTTGGTAAAGATCTGGTCCCTACCCGTTGTGCTAGGGACCTAGGTGTGATTTTTGATGATCAGCTTACTTTCAGTGATCACATTGTTAAGACCGTGTCATCCTGTATGTCAAGCCTCACCCAAATAAATCGCGCCAAACATGCTTTCGACAACGACTTACTTGTAACCATAATTAAGAGTTTAGTTTTCAGTAAAATGTACTATTGTTCAAGCGTATGGTCAAACACTTCTGTTACTAATACCAACAAGTTACAGGCTATTCAGAACTTTGCTGCCCGTATAGTGACCGGATCAAGAAAATTTCACCATATTACACCGATCCTTAAACAGCTGCATTGGATGCCAGTTCAAGACTATCTTTTTTATCGTGATGCCGTGATGACATTTAAGTGCATGAACGGTATGGCACCGAGCAACCTTAGTTCTAGACTCATTAAGAGAAGCACGATTAGCGGCCGCTCGACTCGCAATGCATATACACTGGACACACTACGCTACAAAACTGCTACGGACCAGCAAAGTTTTTTATACCGGGCAGTGACCATTTGGAACAACTTACCAAGTGATATAAAATTGAGCTCCTCGACCAACATTTTTAAACGTACGCTGATAAATCATCTTCTGATCAGTCGATTTTGACTTTTAACATTTTATATATATTTTTATATATTATATATTATATA